GTGTGTGTGTGTGTGTGTGTGTGTGTGTGTGTGTGTGTGTGTGTGTGTGTGACAGAAAGCAGTGACAAGCAGGATCTCCAGGGGACTGAGGGGGGAGGTAAATAGCTTTGGGGCCATAAGGCCTCTTGTTAGTGGGAACTCTATAGGGCCCCTTGTTCTTGGGAGCCAATTCCCTTTATTTTCTTCCTCTCCTTCCCCACCAGTTACTCTTGGGCTGTACCATAACCCCGTGTTTTCCAATCAGGTTTCTGTCCTATAGTGGCTCAGTCATTACAGGACATCCTCACAAATGACCCTTTTAAGATTTTGTAAGGTATTTTACTGCTGTTGTTGTTCAGTGGCTTCAGTCATGTCTGACTCTTCATGACCCATTTGAGGTTTTCTTGGTAAAGATACTGGACTGGTTTGCCATTTCCTTCTCTGACTCATTTTATAGATGAGGAAACCAAGGCAAACAAGATGAAGTGACTTGCCCAGGGTCACTCAGCTAGTGTCTGAGGCCAGATTTGAACTCAGGTCTTCCTGACTCCAGATCAGGTGCTATATCCACTGTGGCACCTAGATGCCCATTTTACTGCTAGCAGCACTCATGGAAGGGGGCTAAACTAAGGACCATAGTTCTGAACCATCATGTCATAGGCTGTTAGAGCTGAGAGGGACTCCAACCATTTCATTTTAAAGATGAGGAAAGTATACCAAAAAATTATTTTACAGAGCTAGAAAAAAACAACAAAATTCATTTGGAAGAACACAAGGTCAAGAATATCAAAGGAATTAATGGAAAAAAATGTAAAGGAAGGAGGTGTAGCAGTACCAGATCTTAAACTATATTATAAGGCAGTAATTATCAAAAGTATCTGGTACTGGCTAAGAAAGGGAAAGGTAGATCAGTGGATCAGAGTAGCCATACAATCTCCAGCAGCAAACGAATGTAGTTACTCAGTGTTTCACAAGTGTAAAGACTTAAGTTTTTGGGATAAGAATTCATTATTTGGTAAAAATTTTGGAGAAGGCTGGAAAGCAGTCTGGCAGAAATTGGGCATAGACCAGTATCTTCCACCATTTACCACGATAAGGTCAAAATGAATACATGACCTAGATGTAAAGGGAGATATTACAAGAAAATTTGAAGAACATCGAACATAAGACTTATTAGACTTATGGATAGGTAAAAAATTAATGAACAAACAAGAGATAGTGTTGTGAGATGTAAAATGTAAAAAGTTTTTGTGCATATAAAACAAATGTTGCCACGATCAGAGGGAAAGCAGAAAACTGGGGAAAAAATTTTATAGACAGTTTCTCAGATAAAGGTCTCATATCTCAAATATGTAAAGAACTTTGTTACATCTATGAAAGTAGGAGTCGTTCCCCAGTTGATAAATGGTCAAAGGATATGAACAGGCAATTTTCCGATGAAGAAATCAAAATAATTTATGAAAAAATGCTCTAAGTCATTGATTAGAGAAATGCAAATTAAAACAACCATTTTGCACCTATCACATTGGCTAAGATGATAGAAGGGGAAAGCAACAAATATTAGAGAGCGTGTGGAAAAATTGGGGCACTAATTCACTGTTGGTGGATCTGTGAGCTGATCCAACCATTTTTGGAGAGATATTTGGAATTATGCCCAAAGAGTTATTAAACTGCCTATACCTTTTGACCCAGCAATACCATTATTAGGTGTGTTTCCCAAGATGATTAGGGAAAATGGAAAATAATCTAAAATATTTATAGCAGCTTTCTTTGTGGTGACAAAGAACTGGAAGTTTTGGGGATACCTGTCAATTGGGTAATGGCTGAACCAAGTTGTGGTATATGTTCATGATGGAATACTGTCGTGCTGTAGGAAATGATGAGCTCACTGATTTTAGAAAAGCATGGAGAGACCTCTATGAAATAATGAAGAGTGAAATGAGCAGAACAAGAGAACACTGTATACGGCAACAGCAATATTGTTTTAAGAACAGCTTTGAGCAACCAAGTCAGTTCTTACTATTAGAAGTACCCCAATTAACTGCAAAGATCCTATGAAGGAAGATGCTGTTTGAATCCAGAAAAAGAACTGACACACACACATATGTATATGTATATATCTATGTCATTTACACATGTATATGTATATATGTGTATGCATGCACATATATGTATATAATGTGTGTATTATACATACAGATTTGTATGTGTGGTAAGATGGTAGCCATCTTAAAGTTTGGGGTGGCAGGGGAAGGGGGAAAAAGTCACATGATAACTTTGTTGTATATTTGAAAGGAATAGCAAGTTGTACGTAATGGATCTGCAGTTTCAGGTGTAATCCTCTGTTTTTCTATCCTCCTTTGTTATTAAAATGCTTGTTTTATTAAGTTCAGAATAAAATAAAATTTAAAAATAAAAAAATTGATTATTAAAGAAAAAGAAGATGATGAAACTGAGACCCAGAAAGGCCAAGTGACTTGCCTGGAATCCCACAGCTACTTGGTGACAGAACCATGATAAGAACCCAAATCTCCTGACTTCTAAGGCTGGGACCTTTTCTGCTGCTGTTGTTAGATATCACTATATAACAGCAAAGACTACAGGGCCTTCAGGGTGTTAGGGCTCCAGGCTTATTTTGGGAAATTTTCAGTTTCTTCCCTCCTTGTCAGCTGCAAGTATACCCAGCTTTCACTCCATCCAATTGGCAGCTTATTAACCTAATTCCAAGGGACTTTCCTTGAGTATAGTGCATTAGGTTTCATATTTGGACTTTGTGAGATTGTTTTGGATGAACAGAGGCCATTTGTACAATATTCTATACACTTGTAGTTGCTGGATAAACAGTCTCTGAATAAGTATTTTGTTTGTAAGAAATGACATCTTCAACTATGAAGCTTCAGCATAGTGCTTTCTCTTAGCCCTGGGATCAGAACTTGAGCCTTTTTATGTTGTAGTCCTGTCAGTCTTCTAGAGATGATTCCAACAAATATTTTCATTTCCAACAACAAATTACCTGTCCTTTTCCTGGCCCAAGCCACTTCCATATTAAGGAATTTCTAATGTCACCTTTTAGGAATTTTGTCCGGGAAAGATAGGCTTGTGTTTCCTGTTCTGTTCTCCAGTGACAATACCAAAACTATTTATAGCCTGAAAAGGGGAAAAAAAAACCATAACAATTTGTCATGAAGAAAACTCGAGCATTTCTTGCTTTGGTTTTGTGCTTAATATACTTGAGAAGCCAGGATAAAGGCAAAGCCGTCTAAAGGCTTCCCAGGCTCATGGCTACTGGTCCTCTTGATAATATGTCAGCGTTTGCTTTGTAGAATGTTAGGAGGCCAATGCACACACAGACCTTTTCGTCCGTTAGGCAGACAGTAACTTAATATTTATTTTATTCTGTTTTATATACTTTGGCTGCATGTACACTGAAGTCTCAGCTTCTCTCACATGGTCTGGTTGCTGCTTTTACGTACAGGAAACTGCTTAAGCAACCAGCTCTCCTGATAGTCATCATGTGTTTGTTGTAGCCTCCAAAGGAGTAATCTAAATTTCAGAAATACATCAGAGGATTTGACACTGGGCAGTGACTGCTAGGTGGGGTTCACTTGCTTAGGGCGATAGCCACCCCCCAAAGAATATCTCTTTTCATCATGCCCCCAGTGCCTGAATTTTTTTCACTCGGTTTTTTTGCCTGAAATTCTACTGACCAGATATTCAGTTGGGTTAAAAAACATCCTTCAAAAAAAACTCTGAAGACTCTGGTAAGGTTAATGAGATGATGTATTCACATTGAGGCAATGGAAATGTTGATGGAGTATAGGGAAGGAAGATCAGTGATCTTTTGTGTGTGTGTGTGTGTGTGTGTGTGTGTGTGTGTGTGGCAGTTGGGGTTAAGTGACTTCCCCAAGGTCACACAGCTAGTATGTGTCAAGTGTTTGGTCTGAGGCCGGATTTGAACTCAGGTTCTCCTGACTTCAGGGCCGGTGCTCTATCCACTGCACCAGAAGGTCAGTGATCTTGAAGTTTAGAGTCATTTGTAAAGGGAAGTTGGTCTGAGTGGGATGCTTTAACATTGGACTTAGGGCATTAGGATGGCATTGGATTGCAGTTTGAGGAGAGAGGGTGCCAGGAGTTTAAATATTTAAAAATTTTTGCTATGATTGGTCCTGATCAGAAAAGAAAGAGAAAAACACCTTTCTCCTAGGACCCAGGAATTAGACTACTACTGTAATTCAACTGCATTATGGGTTAATAAGCTTTTGTAGGCTGCCCTGGGAGCTTTACCACTATTTTAATGTTTCCATGAGAAAAGGAATTCCAAGTTTTAGGGACTCCCTTATGTTGGCATACTTGAAGGGAGAAACTTGAAGAGACCACAAGTCTGGGCTTGCCGAAAATATCAGTGATACACAATTATATGTATATATCTATCCATCTATCTATATCTAATTATTTAAGCAATAGAACAGATACCTAGAAAAGTTTAAAGTCTTCCATAGACAGGAAAATACGACCATGAGCTTGATGGAGGCAAAAAAGGAGACATTTTAGATGTCATAGGAAAGAACCTGGTAAAGCTTTTAAGAAAGTAAAGACTAGGTATCATGAGAAGAAAAAACAAAACAAATGAAACCTAAATGTTTGTGCAGGTTTAGTTTCACTTTTGATTTTTTTTTCAATTATGAAAAAGTGAGGGGTTACTGAAGCATTGTGTGGACAGACACTTGCTCTTGTTTTGATAATATAAACTTTAAGTAAACCTGAAAAAGAGAAGGAAGTTTTCTGTCTTAGCACAACCAGCTGCCACAGCTTCTGTCTATGAGAAAACTCAGAAGGTTCAGTTTATTAAAGACTTTTTTTCCCTGCAGATTTAATTGTAGGGGTAATATATTTTATAATAAACCTTTGATCTTAATTCAGAAAGAATTAACAGAGGTTTCTATTTGACTATGTAATAAGGATTTGCACTGATTGTTGTTACAGATGAAGCAAGAGTGTTACCAGGCCTTGAACCATGTGCTTCTTACAGCCTGCTTATGTATTGTCACTGTCAGCACTGGGCTGTTTGATGATGTCTTCACTGAAGTTGGCTATGAACATTATGCAGAGGTTCCAGTTCAATCCTTTCCGACCTTTCTAGCCATGCCTTTCAATTCTGTCATTAATGTGGGCTACCTGCTGTTGGGATGCTACTGGCTTCTGAAAAATAAGAAAGTCATAGGAAATGATGAAGATGTGAGACAGGCCCACTACCTGAAAGATGTCTTTGCAGGCATGGCCCTGGTGTATGGTCCTATTCAATGGGTACGCATCTGGACCCAGACTCATCACTCTGCTGTTCTGGACCAGTGGTTTACCTTGCCCATTTTTGCTTGGTCAGTGGTCTGGTGCCGCTACCTGGAGGATGGTTGGCAGCCCTGGTTGTTCCTTTCTATTGAGTGTATATCCCTGGCCAGTTACGGCCTTACTCTGTTCCACCATCTTGGATTTGATATAGCCCTAGCATGTCATATTCTTGCTGCTGTGTGGAGTGCCATACATGTGCACCAGGAATATGGAGATCCTGTCTCTGCCACATATATCAGCCTGGCTTTGATATCTTGCCTGGGCTTTATTGTCCTTAAGCTGGGTGACCACTGGCTTGCACAGTGGCCTCTCTTCAAGGAACTGACTGGACACTTCTGGTCGAAAATTTGCGACATCATGCAGTTCCACTTTGCGTTTTTGTTCTTGACACATTTCAGTAGTCCCCAAAGGTGCATTGCTGAGGAAAAGAACATTTGAGTGGGCTAAAAAGCTTCTAAAGTATTTTAGTTAATACATACATTTGAAAAAGTGTTCTAGCCAAGTATATACATCCATTCCATGTTTATGCTCAATTCATTTTCTATTTTCTTTGTTTCTTTTGTCCATGTTTTTCATGGCCGTTAAAATAAAATTTATTAATTAAAAAAATGAAGACTCTTCTTTGCCGCAGACAACACCAAGATTACACTTGGATCTTCTTGACCTATGTTATTATCACATTTGACAAGTGAATAACAAAACAGCCTCGCTAGACTTTAACATTTATTAGAAATATACAAATATCTACCTATATGAGAAATATATAGACTCATGTATGGTTCATGCAAATCTATTCAACTTAAAAAACATTTATTAAGGGCCAACTATGTGAAGGACACTTTTTTTTAGATATTAAAAGATTAGTAGTTCCTACCCTCAGGAAGCTTTGTCAGTAGTGAGATCCTTCCCTGAAAACTACCCATCAATTAGGGAGAGCAAGAATTATGCATTCTTTAGTCTACCTCTCACATAAGGTACTGGACACACAGAACCAGTAACTGTTTGCTGCAAAGATAAATGAATAAACAAAAGCTCAATCAACAGTATGGGACAGCAAAATTGTAGGCAGAGGTAAGAGCAGAGATGGGTGGGTAGGGTAATAGAGCAGGTAATTGTGGTTTTGGAATTTTGGGATGGGATGTTTAACAATTTCCAGATGCCTAGAACTGGAAATTCCATCCGCTTGAGTGCAGATGTCTGTGGCAGGCATTAAATATATTTCTGAAATTGGTCAGTCGATTCAGTCATGTCTGGTTCTTTGTGACCCCGTGGATCATATTGTCCATGGGGTTTTCTTGGCATAGATACTGGAGTGGTTTGCCATCTCCTTCTCCAGTGGATTAAGGCAAACAGGATTAAGTGATTTTCCCAGATATATATATATATATATAGTAAGGGAAGACTTCATAGAAGCATTGGGACTAGAGCAGGGATGGGGAACCTGCGGCCTCGAGGCCACATGTGGCCCTCTACATCCTCAAGTGTGGCCCTTTGCCTCAGTCCAAGTTTTATAGAACAAATCATTTTATTAAGAGGATTTGTTCTGTGAAGTTTGGATTCAGCCAAAGGGTCACAGTTGAAGACCTGGAGGGCCCCATGTGGCCTCGATGCCGCAGGTTCCTTACCCCGGACTAGAGCCTTAATGGGACTTAGGTGTAGACTAAAGCAGGGATGTTTATGGAAATGCACGTTATCATTATTAGTGATAATAATGGTTCACATTTATATGTGATGCCTATGTTACTCCTTATGTGACACTTGGGACACTATAGTAGTAGCAGTCCAAATTAGCTTATGTGCTATCTTCCTCAAGCCTACAGGATGACAGTATGTCACCATACTAATTATCCAGCATGAGAGAGTAATATCTGAGTTCCTCACCAGGGGGCATTCTTTAGACCAGTTGCTGCCTTAATTCCCCATTGGCACATGCATGAGATAGACTTCTAAAAGATCATGGGATCAGAGGATCCTGGCTGCCAGAGGGAGTTTAGCCCACAAATGCCTAAGTTACTTCCCTACAGCCAAAGTACTCTTACTTCAAGTAGTATCACCAAGTGGTGAAACTCAGGCTGCCTGGGTTTGGAATTTAGCTAGAAGTAAAGCTTGTTAAAGTAGAATATTGCTTAAAAACAAATGTATGAAATAGAGCCCACACTCTAGATCTGGACAGAGATTCTCACATAGTGTGGCTACATAGTTTATTGGCCATAGTGAAAAAGGAAGAAAGAAGATTAAGTGTTCCTACATGGAGCCATCTGCCTCTAGCCATCTCCCCAAACCTCGTCCCCACCCCTGGACTAGAATATAATAACTATCACAACAACAATAATTATTATTGATAATATTTAACTAGCTTCCATGAAACACTTTAAAGTTTACACATCATTATCTCATTTGATCCTCACAACAACCTTGTGAGGTAGATGAGATTTTAGTTTTTTTTTCCCCCTTTTTAGCCAGTTGGGGTTAAGTGACTTGTACAGGGTCACACAGCTAGTAAGTGTCAAATGTTTAGTCTGAGGCTGGATTTGAACTCAGGTCCTCCTGACTTCAGGGCCGGTACTCTTTCCACTGTGCCACCTAGTTGCCCCCAGTAGATGAGATTTTTATTCCCACTTTGCAGATGAGGAAGCTGAGGCTGAAAAAGATCAAGTGACTGACTTGGGCTCACACAGCTAGAAAATGTCTGAGGCAAGATTGAACTCGGTCTTCCTGACTCCAAGTCCAGTACTATCTAGGAGTTATCTGCATCGGGACAGCAGTTGAACCCATGCGAGCTGATGAGAACCCCTAGAGAGAAGAGAGGGACCAAGACATCCATGGATATAGATGATGATCCAGTGAAAGATACTAAGAAGAAGTGGTCAGAAAAATAGAAGAACCAGAAGAGAACCGGAGTCACGGAAACTCAGGGAGGAAAGAAGAATGTCCAGGAGGAGACAGTGGGAGACAAATGTCAAAGGCTGCAGTGAAGTCAAAAAGGATGAGGACTGAAGGAAAAGGTCGTGAGATTTGGCGATCAAGAGCTCGCTGGTCACCCTGGAGAGCTCCCCTAATTCTTTGGATGTTCTTTGGCCAGAAAATTCCCAAACCTCATGTATATAATGAGAAAGGGGGGAAGTAGGTGTCTGGGACCCCAACTCCAAGTCAGAGACTATATCAAGGGAAATCTGCAAGGGGGTGAGAGAAAATAGTCCTCTCTGCCTTGCTAAACCACCGATGGCTTTCTCAATAACTGCCAGTGTTAAAACTTGAGGTCCTCTAGATGGTGTGGTGGATACAGTACTGTATCAGATACTTACTTGCTGTGTGACCCTGGGCAAATCACTTAACCTCTCCCAGTCTTAGTTTCCTCATCTTTAAAATGGGAATAATAATAGCATGGGGTTGTTGTGAGAATAAAATGAGATAATATTTGTAAAGCACTATTATTATTATGAGGAAAAATATCTCTTTACTTTGATATGTTAGTGACACTGGCACATGGTCTTGCTCAACTTTCCATTTTCAGGGTTTTTTGGTAATGATATGCAACAAGATGATCATGAATTTCTCAATTCCCCATTAAACACTACTGCTGACCTTGGAATGTTTTTTTTTTCTTCCCAGAATGGAAGCATAGAGAGTGAAGTTATTGTTCATCCTTCATTTTTGAAGATATTGTTGACTTTTGTGTGAACTGGATTTAAGTGAGGCAGAGTTGCACACCCAGCTTCACTCTCTCAGAGTCATCAGAGTCCAGTGGCAAGTCAAATGTCAGGATGACTGCTGATGGCTCAGGATGCAGTGAATGACCTTGGCATCTTTGATATTTAACCAAGCTCTAAGCTCTCCACAGCACCTACTTCAGCCGTCTTTATGACCATTGGAACAAATTGTTCTCATCCACCCATTCTGCTGGAGCAAGTCTTTACATACTTGGGGTAGACAGCCCCTAACTCACCAAAGGGTTTGTGGCCTTTCAGTTACCCTCAACCTGAGTTAGGTCCTTCTGCCTAGCCCAGGGTTGGGGACTTGCGGTCTTGAGGCCATATGTGGTCCTCTAGGTCCTCAAGAGCGGCCCTTTGACTGAATCCAAATTTCACAGAACAAATCCCCTTCATAAAAGGATTTGTTCTATAAAACTTGGATTGAGGCAAAGGGCTGCACTTGAGGACCTAGAGGGTCACATATGGCCTTGAGGCTACAGGTTCCCCACCCCTGACCTTCACAGTTCAGTGAGGTGTGGCTGCTGTGCATGCTACAGCTTCTTGAAGCCACAGGTGAGAGCTGGGTGCCAGGTGGACACCAAAGGTGCATGAGCAGCCCTGAAAAGGGCTCGGAAAGTCCTTACACCAGAGGTGCTAGTCTTCCTGAACACCCATAGTGAGGAAGACGTCAACTGGTAGTGCTGAGCCTGGAGTTGGAAGACCTGAGTTCAGATCTGTCTTCAGATTTACTAGCTGTGTGACCAGTTTCCTCAACTATAAAATGGAGGTAATAATATCACTTGCCTTACAGGGTTGTTGTGAGGATCAAATAAGATACTTGTTCAAAGTGTTTAACACAGTGCCTGGCACATAGTAAGTGCTATAGAAATGTTTATTCCCCTAGATGACAAGGTGGGTTGGACCTAATCCATGAGATCTTTCAGATGAAACCAAGTGTCTAAACTGGGAATTTGTATGTCAAGAAACAGAAAGATCTCTGAATTTTGACTTGGTTTTAGAAACATTTTGTTTTCTTTTGCTTTTCTGTAGGATTTTGTTTGTTGTTTTTTGGCCAACTCTACCCTCAGGTACAATGGGAAATATATTTTTTTTTCTTTTCTTTTTTAATAGTATTTTATTTTTCCAATTATATGTAAAGGCAATTTTAAAAATATTTATTTATTTTTAGTTTTCAACATTCACTTTCGTAAGATTTTGAGTTTTAAATTTTCTTCCCCTCCCTCTCCTTCCCCTGTCCAAGATGGTGTGCGATCTGATACAGATACAGGCTCTACTTATATATTCATATTAAGCATATTTTCACATTAGTCATGATGTAAAGAACAATTAGAATTAATGAGAGGAACCATGAGAATGAAGCAATAAAACAAAGCAACAAAAGAAAAAGAGAGCAAATAGTATGCTTCCATATGCATTCAGACTCCATAGTTGTTTCTCTGGATGTGCATAGCATTTTGCATCATGAGTCTTTTGGAGTTGTCTTAGATCCTTGCATTGCTGAGAAGAGCTAAGTCTATCAAAGTTAGTCATCGAACAGTGTGGCTGTTACTGTGTACAATGTTCTCCTGGTTCCACTCATTTCCTTCTGTATCAGTTCATATAAGTCTTTTCAGGTTTTTCGGAAGTCTGCCTGCTCATCATTTCTTATAGAATAATAGTTTTCCATTACGTTCATATACCACAACTTGTTCAGCCATTCCCCAATTGATGAGCATCCCCTCACAATTTCTATTTCTTTGCTACCATAAAAAGAGCTGCTATAAATATTTTTGCACGTGTGGGTCCTTTTCCTTTTCTTATCATCTCTTTGGGATACAGACCTAGAAGTAGTACTGCTGGAACAAATGGTATGCATGGTTTTA